GTAGTCGCTATATAATTTCTCGAATGTTGAGCAAAGCTCAATTATAACTCTCAAAATGTTATAAATTTTTATTCCTTCAAATGTCGTAAACATGGTCTTTATCAAGTATAGTTATTCATCAAAGTTCCCAATTTTTTCACTCCATGTCACAAGTAAAGTCTTTTATTAGCTCTTGTAAAGAGAAAGAACATTGAACTGCTTATTTTGTTATGCATGTGAAGATTTAACAAAGAAAATTTATATCTTAGTTTTCACATTTAAGAATTATTTGGTTCTCAATATTATGGCCATAGAGTGAACCAAAAGTATTTTATAATTTTTTTTATGTTCGATTGAAAGTAATGTATATGCAAAGCACTACTCGAAGAAATTTGTATTGCTTGAACTAGTTCCCAAAGTCAACTCTTTTGAACTCACTGACCTGAAAGAGGTAACCAACTAAACTAACTTATCGCTTTAAAACTGTGACGTCTAGTCTAATAAAATGCAAGATAAGTAAGGATATTATTTATAGTAAGAAAAATAGAAGGAAAAGAAGAGGCAATGCTTCTAGGGTTCCATAATGCATTATGTCTCCCTAATCCTCATCACAAAAAACCAGCTTCCCACTTTTTTTACAGACCCCCTGTTCCCCAATCTCCCCCACTACCTTACCATAACTGTATCTTAATGGCATCACACCCAGCAAGCGATGGAACTCAGTAATGCAGCTCCCCCTCCTCCCCCAATGCTCCTTTCTCGAGCTCAAACCCACCCTTCCGATCTCCGTCTCCCCTTTCCCCCGATTCCTCGGATCACCATAATCCCTAACCCTACCGCCGACGAGCAAAGGACCTTCGCCACTCTCCATGGCGGCGACGAAGTTCATGAGAATGTCCTCGCAGTTACGCTCGCGGTCCACCACGGCCCTGGCGGGACTTAATCTGGTCCAGCAGCTGTATTTGTGAAGGTAATCGGCGCGGAGGAGCATGAGCTTGGTGAGAAGAATGGAGTAGCGGTCGGAGTGGAGGGTGTAGATCCAGGATTTGGAAGGGAGGTCGAAAGCGTGGGAGCGGGGGAAGAAGCCGAGGAGGGAGAGGGGGTGCTGGTTGGCGAGGGAGAGGGCGAGGGAGAGGGAGTGAGGGGATGGGGAGATGTCGTCATCGGAGATGAGGATGAAGCGGGAGAGGAGGAGGGAGGGAGGGAGGGGGAGAAAGCGGAGGTTGAGGGAAG